TTTTTTCAATTAATCATTTTATATTTACTAATGTTTAATAAATACCTATCAAGCTACAGTGTTTGCTACATGAACTGAGTGGCATATTCATTCGTTCTGATTTGGATATAGAGACTGACTGGGAGTATACTGAGTGCAAACCAAAACATCATAATTTTCCAATCATGTATTCATCTTTTATCATTCAAAATTACTATAGGTACTTACTATCTATGGAAACCATTTTGAAGTTACATGCTGTACTTTCTCCCCAGAGATGGAATGTTATGGAATGCCCCCAAAACAATATATTTTAATTTTCCAAATTAATTTATTTCGCCTTGTTAAAATAATAAAAGTTTGATATATTAAGTGCATCAAATATCCTAGAGTTGTAGGGGAAAAATCTCCATCTCTTGTTTCTATTGTTGCAGGCCAATTTGAAGAGACTAGAGGCAACAAGCTTGGCAAAAAAGTTAATAACAACTCATGCCCAGCTTATTCGTTTTCAATAACTATCAAAGTCTATGATTCAAAATAGTATTTTATGGCTTACAGGATCAGAGCCATTACACTCTCTATTGAAGACTTTATTGAATTTTACACTAAGCTTTAGCTGACTGAACAGGTCAAACAGTATAGCTTGGAGTTTTGCTTTATTCACAGAAATCCATAAGCTGCCTCTAGTCAGCAATGTGATTTGCAAAGAAACTTGACTCAGCAAAGGGTCAGAGAGCCTGACCCTTTAGAAAAGGTCAGATAGTTTTCAAAGCCGGCTCCTGAATGCCATTAACTTACATGCACTAGTTGCTCCTGCATGTCAAACTCTCGTGAACAGCCTTCCCAATGGCAGTTCGTCTCATAGACCACTTCAGGTTCTTGCTTGCTTTCATCTTTCTCCCCTTCCTCCTTTACTGAGGTCATTTCTTCCGGTGGTTCCTGTCAGGGCCACGGAAGTGAGGAAGCAGATGAACAAACAAACACTTAGGTCTTAACTTATTCAATGTTTCTAGTATTATTGTAAAATAACCAAGCTGTTATTGGGACTTAAAAAAAGAAAAAGGTACATTTTAAAATACTTGTCTATAATCCTTAATCTTTCTTCCAAACCATGTGAAATTTCTCAACTTTGAAAAAAATAAAATAAAAATTAGAAAGTTTGTTACAGATTTGTCTTCTTGTTCAGGTTAAGACTTCTTTGATAAAGTTTTAAAGCTTTGCTAACAGGACTGTAAAACAGCAATACATTTAGATCCATCTGTTGTTATACAAAAGAAACTGTTTTAAATATAAAACAGTATTGGCTATGCGGCATGATATGAAGAAACTGTTCAGAAAAGGAGTCCAGCTCCTTAGCCACAGCTTTTAAGTTATCTTTGTGCAATCTGTCCTCAGCAACTGTTCATGATATCTCAATTGATCAATTTTATTACCACTGGAACTGCTATTTAAAGCAAATGTTAATGTCTCAGAATAAAAATGATAATTTCATGAAGTGATTCAGTGGTGGGATTCAATTTTTTTTACTACCGGTTCTGTGGGTGTGGCTTGGTGTGCATGGCATTGCTTGGTGGGCATGGCAGAGGAAGGTTACTGCAAAATCCTATTCCCTCCCCACCCCACCCCCATTAACCTACTTTCCAGCTCCGTTCTCCTGTGCAGGGCAACAAAAGAAGACCCGAACAATCAGCTGGGATTTGGGAGGCAGAGAATAGATGGGGGGCAGGGCCAGTCAGAGGTGGGATTGGCCAGTTCTCCGAACTACTCAAAATTTCCGCTGCCGGTTCTCCAGAACTGGTCAGAACCTGCTGAATACCACCTCTGAAGTGATTCCTAAACAACACCTATGCAGAGGTAGATTTATGAACAAATTCATGACCACAGAAATTCATGACCATTGCTTTCTAGAACCTTGTTTTCTGTCTTTTTACGGGAGGGGGAGGCGGGAGGGGCAACATATATGCAAACAAGGAGGTGCAAAGAAGGAGGAATATCATGTTTGTGGACATGGGCTTGGTTTTTCAGATGTTATGGAGAGAAACTGAGGATGCAATTTAAAAAAAAAATTTCAGGACATACATTATCCTTTTTAGGTATTTCAAGCTTCAATCTAATGAAAGATTGCTCCCCTCATTTTCAGCAATGATACTATTAAAATTTGGTAGGAGTCAACAGCAACTTGGGGTTTTGAGACAGCCTTTACAGGACTCAGTTTTTCCAAACAACCAATAACTGCCACTGTTAAATGTTATGCAAAAACTAGTAGTATTAGTAGATAGAGAGTATTCGCTTTGGCAAAGATTACTCACAAAAACAATTAAGGCAAAATGTGCCCTCTTCCTACAACTGATAAAAGCATAATTTACCTGCATGCTTCCAGCTCCTGGGCTGGGGAGGTCATCGTCTGGTTTTATCTTGGAACGCTTGTTATGCATTGGGTCCCCTGTGCTGCTCACTGCAGACTCACTTGTGGGCTTACTCTGAAGTACATATTTATATCCAAAAGATATAAGTAGACTTTGAATTAAAATACAATACATCTAGAATATTTAAAGAAACTTTACCGAAGTTCACAAAATTCAGATTTCTATGATTGTGATAATGTTCTTGATTTATCTTCCATTTTCAAAATTATAATTTCCCAGTAATGCTTTTACTTAGACAGAAAACATCCTGATTGAATGTTATATAATAATTTCTATAATTTCTTTATATAAATTATTATATAAGAAAATAAACCCTCATGTCTGAAACTTTTCTGAACTCAGTGACAAACCAGCTCAACACAAGAAAAAAGGATAAACTGTTTATCTAAGATGTTTATTACTTTATTACTGTAGACCATGTATATCTGCCTGGATGATATTTTACATGTTTTATTATTTACTTTTTTAAAAATGAAATAAACTCTTTCTCCTTGCCTTTTACCTGAAGGACACATTTTGCTATCTTCTACTAGAAACAGATAGACATACATTTCCTTAAACAAAGACTGAGCAGAGTTAGTTTATTCAGTATATGTTTTGGATTATATTATTATAGTTTTAAAGTCGCTTAGTTTAGGATGGTCATGAACTGCAATGAATTAACATAGGATCATTGAATGAAATGGGCTGAAGACAGCAGAATCTTACAAATTTGCCTAACACAGCTTTATCCTTCCAGAGAGGATGGAATATCATGTCCATTAATTTGGGAATTATTATATTGACACACACTATGTTTTTTCAAATTGTCTGCTTCTTTTCTACTTAACATAGGCTCTTGAAATTTTCAAATTGTACTCTTGGAAATTTGAGAATTCCCTAGCTTAGTATTCTGTGTAGCATGAAGTATAAAAGGAAAAGAGAAATTGCTGTCTCTTAACACTTAGAAAGTCTTCGTGGGCGTCTTTGGTCCTAATCTTTGATTCAACATTCAGAGAGATTTTTACCTTTTACGTTCATCAGTGGGGTATAAATTGTGTCCCTTTGCTGTTCAAATGTCCTTTGCCTGAACATTCTGAAACTGTAAGTTCCTATATACTGAATCTGGAAGTTATTGAAATATTTATAAGGGATGGAAAACACTCCATCAATTCAAAAGCATGATATACTCTAGGTAATTTATAATAAAAGACTGCATACATTGCAGCCCCAAGGTAATCGTTAACAAATCTGTTCTAAGAGCTGTGATGATTAATCACTACTGTGGACAAGTCAGTATGGTGCAAAAATCTTTCCTTACATTCCCTTACCTGTGCAGCCTCTGAAGGACCTGAGCTGACCTGAACAGGATTCAAGATATTAGAGATGCCAGGAATAGGCCTCTGTGTAGGAAAGGTTGGAGCAGGATGGATGAGTGGAGGACTATGCCCAAAGGCTGAACCAAGACTTTGCTGTCGACTGATGATCTGTTGATGCATCTGCTGGAGGGATACTGGTGTGGGAGGGTATGCAAAACTTAGCGCTGGGCTGCATTATAACAGGGAAAATAGAAGTAAGTAAAAATCATTTAAGGAATTGAATCAAGAGAAATGTGAATTATTATTATGTTCAAAACAAGAACCATAGGTTTGCCTTAACTGATGATTTCACTCAGAGATGATATGATGCATATTTAAAATCATGTACCAACTTTATATGGAAGTTATCACTGTGAATATTTTTGAAAGCAAGGAATTAAAAGTTAAAACTAGTTCACACGTGGAGCTCTGATCTGTCAGATATAGACTGTTAGATCTTGATTTGACATTGTACTTCTAAACAACAACTTAGTCCTATAGTCTAAGGGCAGACAGAATGTAAACTGATCAAATGATTTTTTCAAACCTGGAGAGTTCTAAAAGTGATAATCTTTTTCTTAAAAAATATTGTAATCCACTTTTATCTAAGACGTTTCAATCTCATCCATCTCCTTTCACTGGACACACAACATAAATTGTGTTCATTTGTTATTCATATTCCCCACATATAGGACCTCCTGTATACCTGTCATGCTTTATTTCCACAGATGGAAAAAATGATATGATAATTCTTTCTATTCTGAATAATTAATATATCAAATGTTCCCTTAAGGCACCTAAATGAAAAGATAATTTCTTCTGCATGTGGTTTTTTTTTTGTCCTCTTCTAAACTAAATATTTTGAGAAATACTTTTTTAATACAAAATGTTTTTAAAAATTCCCTGAGTCTATTTTATGTCCAGTTGACTAAAGATTCTTCCCTTCCTATAGTTAAGAACTTACCTAAAACCTCCTAAAGAGAAAATTAATATGATCAGGGAATAGATAACATGCTGAATATAAATTGTCAGGAATAGTAGTGTGCAAAATTTGAAGTGGTGTAAATTTGAAATTCCACACTTTGGCTTCCAGCTTCTACAATTTTACCAAAAGTATTCCAAATTTGAACCAATACCCATTATTCAGAAATTTGACATTGAGAAGATTCTCTCAGCATGTGCACCTGAAGTTGAGAAATGATTTGAATTGCTCAACATCACAGAAAGACAACAGATAAGCTATGGAAGGAAACAGAAACAACACTTCCTGAAGTATCCCAAAACATATTACATACAAGAAATCAACTAAATTAGCCAGATGGATATCGGAAGTGACAATGGAGACTGTAGAAGAGAGGAGGAAAACAAAAACCTGGATGACAGGGAAGAAATGTGAAGATTAAAGGCAAAATTCCAGAGAGAGGCAAAAAAAGACACAGCAAAGTACTAGGCTGAGCAATGTAAGAAATTGGAGGAAACAGCAATGAAGGGTCATACAAGAGGTATTTCAGTTATGTGAAGGCCATAAATCACTTTGTGGCAAGAAAGACTATGGTCATAGGACATGATGGACAGGAATTGCATGACCAACAAGCAATCAGAGAAAGATGGCGAGAATAAGCAGAATAACTTTACACAAATGAAACAAGGTCAAGCCATAAGTGGAAAAGCTGATCTACTAGAAATGGAAGCAGATATTCTGGAGGAGGAAGCAATGTGGACATTCAACCAGTTGCCTAACCACAAAGCCCCAAGATTTGATGGAATTCTTGCAGAATTGCTGAGACCACTGCCAACAAAAATACTGACAGTGCTTTGCCAAAGCATATGGAAGTCTGGTCAGTGGCCAAAAAAATGGAAAAGATCAATATTTATCCCAATACCAAAGAAAGCTGATACAAAAGACTGTTCGAACTACTGAATCATTCTTACTTGATATCTTACGTGAGTAAAACTCTCTTGAAGGTACACCAGCAACATTTGAATCCAATTGCCAACAGAGAACTGCCTGATGTGTAAGCAAGATTTCGGAAAGGGTTAGGGTTAGTGTGATCATATTGTCAGTCTCCACTGGATGATGGAAAAAACAAAGGAATGCCAAAAATACTTCTACATGTGCTTCATTGACTAGACAGAAGCCTTCAACTGTGTTGATCATGACAAGCTCTAGAACTGCCTCAAAAAACTGGGAATATCACCACACCACATCCAGCTCATCCAATCATTGTACTCTGGATGTAAGAACGGAACACGGAGACACAAAATGGTTCTGAATTTTAAAAAAGGCATTTGGCAAGGTTGCATCCTGTCACTTATACTGTTCAACATGTACACAGAGATAGTTATGATAAATGCATACTTGGAGGAATCTAATGGTAGGAATATCAACAATCTTCTATATGCATATGATTCAACATTGCTGCGGAAAACAGGGAGGATCTGCAGCGGTTAATCCTGAGAGTCAAAGATGAAAGTGAAAATTTTGGAGTGTACCTTAACATCAAGAAAACAAAGAAAATGATAATTGAGGGGAACACACAGGTCAAAGTGCAGATTGACAATGAGACTATCAAAACAGTAAAGGAATTCATCTTCCTAGCCTCTAAAATAAATCAAAATGGTTACTGCAGCCCTGAGATCAAAAGGCATATAGCCACTTGAAAGAACTGCAATGTTTGACATGAATAACATCTGGAAGAGTAGAGACATGAGACTCACAATCCAATGCATATTAGTTAATGTAATATTTTTTCAAATTGCTACTTATGCTCGCAAAACTTGGGCTCTGAAAAAGGCAGATAAGGTGGATGCCTTTAAACTGTAGTGCTAGAGGCAATTATTACGCATGTCATGGACTGCAAAAATAATAAAGAAGTCCTAGACTGAACTTCACTAAAAATATAACTTGAAGCCAAGATCGCCAGACAGAGGCTATCATACTTTGGTCATGTCATGCAAGCTGACCTACTCAAAAAATAAATCATGCTAGGAGTGATCAGTAGAAAAAAGAGAAGGGGGCTGCCTTAGTATCTGCTGGCTACACATTATAAGAATGACACTGGGATGACCATGGCAAATATGAAGGAGGTGATGTGAAACAGAGGGACATGGCCAAGGGTTGGAAATTACTGAATGGCTTACAATGACAATGATTCCAAATTTGAAAAAGGAATGCTTGTCCTCCTGGCATTGTTAGAATAATATTGGACTACTCTGAATAATGTTGTAACAATCTGTGTCAAATTCAAAATAATTTGCATATCCAACTTCTAAATTAAAAGACAGACTCAAGTGAAAACTGATAAAAATCAGCTGCTATAGGATAAAGACAGCCTAAGATAAAATGTTAATCATGCAGAATTTACTTCCAGAAAATCTAAGTTGAAGAGTCCTTTTAGTAATAAGGCCTAAGAGAGGCAATAGTAATTGGTGAAGCATAATATTATAAGCAGTTCTTACTATTGTTTTACTTGCAATATACTGGAATCAATTTCTAAACATTCAATTGACAGCATATAGCAATGGTTAGGACATCAAAGCAGAACAGGGAATAATTGAGTTGCAGTTGCAGTCCTAATCAACAATGAAATTTTCTGAATGACTTCTCTGTGCTTTCAGCCTCGGATTCATCTTGATTCAGATTCTGGGCTGCCACAGCATGGGATGGGCAGGCTGTGGGAATGGGAGAGTAGCAAAAGGAGTATAGCCACAACAACATTCTTTCACCAGAGATCAAGGACAAGTTGCTGGCATCTGGAGAGGAATGATTGAATTCGGTGGCAGCAGAGACAGTATGTTGATTGGCTAATGTGACCTGGGAGTCATTAAATGGGGCAGGGTGTGAGTTTTAATGTGGAGGGGGGAAACGCGGGAATTCAGATTCGGGTTTTCCCCTGATGTGTCAACATGATTTTTCTAATAAATTCTGTGCCAACATAAAGTCATGTTGGCACATAAACCAATGCACCCCGACATAATGGGGCGTAAATACTCAGGGAAGATGGAGCAGGGGATGGGAACCCCTGAAGGGGATCAGCTTCAGAGGATGTTTGTGGATCTCTCTGCTACCCATCAGCTGCTGCAGTAGCAGAGGCAGTGGAGGCTGACCTCTGGAGGGGCGCCCGACCTAAGGAACTGGTTCTATGGCAGTCCCCGCCAGCTGGGTCAGCTGCGCAGCTAGAGTTGGAACTTGTGATGTCCCAGGACCTCAGGGGTGTCAGGACAACGTGAGCAAGTGGCAGCCTTTGAGTGTAGACTATCGAAACCCCTGGAGCTTAGCCAGTGGTGGGATTCATATTTTTTTACTACTGGTTCTGTGGGCGTGGCCGGGTAAGGAAACTGTAAAATCTCCAGTCAGAGGTGGTATTTGCTGGTTTTACGAACTACTCAAAATTTCCGCTACTGGTTCTCCAGAACTGGTCAGAACCTACTGAATACCACTTCTGAGTTTAGCAAGTCTCCAATGGAGGGAATGGAGACTCCAACCATCATTGCAGAGCCAGTCGCTTGCCGAGCTACCCGAGAAGTTTGATCAGCTGAGTGTGGGACCCACAGTTCAAATGTCCCCATACCTGATCCAGCCTGGTTGGATTCTAGCCCAGCTTACATTCAACTTTCTGGGGTCAGGGAGCACAGTAGTCCAGAGGGAGGCTTCTGCTTCATTCCACTCAGCACTGGCCAGACCAAGGCTCAGCCTCCCACTTTGGATCCCATCCGTCACAGCAGCAGCCCATCAGGTGGTATGGCAGGATGACACCCTGGACCCTTGCGCCACTTGATCCCAAGCACCAGGGAAGGAATGAGAGGTTTATCCAGGCCTACATGTCACCTCCCACCAGGGCCTGGCGACCAGATTCAGACACCTCCCACTACTGCCCGCTGACCAGATTCTGCCCGGACGGGACTTTTACTCAGGCCAGGGTGGATCCAGTACCAATAGATGCCAGCTCCTGTCACACCACCAATCCTGCCGATCACAGCTGCCCCCCCCCAGCAGCTGCCCAACTGGGCTACCTTTGAGGGCGTCCTGGGAAAACTGGCCTATTTCCTAAACTGTATCTGGCTGCACACTGATTTATATGGAGCACAATACCAGCCAGACCAGGACATGATCTTGGTCATTGCAGATAACATGAACAAAGGGGAAGCAGCGGAATGGTTTTCTCAACTACATGATGAAGGAGCCCCTGA